CATTCTTATACTACTTATATCGTTCGTATAAGTAGCACACACCACACCGTCAGTAATCAATCGATGTATCAGATTACAGTTAATTTGGCGGCCGATAAAAGGTTAAGTAACTGCACAATCAAGTACAGTTCGTATAGGGTTACAAAGAATGATAGCATAACTATTGCCTTCTTATCCACTACATTTCAACTGATCAGGAATAATTACTAAGATAAAAGGATTCGAACAGCTTAGTCTTCTCTGAATTTATAGCTGATGATTTTATGCACAGAAACAACGTAAATTCCAACTGCTCAGCTCAAAAGTTTAAATATCAATATTCTTTGAGGTTATGCATCCATTGGATTTTCAATACAGATACCTAATCTATTGATAACATGTAAAAATAAAATATGTTTACGCCAAACATTTGAAATATCTCAGTTAGTAAAATCACTTTACTAGTAAACTAATTTTGGAAAAATCGGCAATACGTACATTACTGTTGTTAGAATTAAACAAAATTCAGTTTGTATTACATTAAATCGTAATCATAACAGTGATGATCACTCATATTGATATGTTCTCGCTGGATAATGAACACTCTTTTATGATTAAAGATAAATTAATTCGTTCTACTTTTTATTAATTCAATATGAATCTTGTTTGATTTTATATGTGTATATCTTTCACTTTAAGGTTCTTTGTTACAACTATTGGGAGTCTAATATTGAAGCTTGTCTAAACGACCCAAAAACATTACAACTTGATGTACGAAAATGTTGGCGATTAGATTTTTCAGGTCAACCCATATCTGAGTATAATGTTGTTGATAATTATATTACATGTGTCGGTTATTGGATGGAAGACACTAAGTCGTTTTTAGTTACTTATGATAAAGAAGATCCAGTAAGTTTTAAAACCCTGTTTTAATTACAGTTAATAACTGAAATAATGTAGAGATTACATATTTTCACACTTAAAAGTGCTGATTTCTATTTTGCATTTCAGATCTGTAATTTGTAAATATTCCACTTATCATTGGATTACAAAAAGCACTCCAAAAGGACTTCATTTGACTTTGGTTTACTATGCTTAAGTTAATAACACTGATACCAGCAACTTGATGGCAAGATATGCTAACGCTTAGTTGTCCACATAAAATATCCTTCTGCCTCAATTAGAACACAATTAATGTAAATTTGGAGTATTTGATTTGAATACTCATCTATTTATATACTTGAATTACAGGACTATAGGGACCGGTAAACAAGAAATTGCAATATGTTAATCAGATTTATATAGAAAATACCCTCATAAAGTTTAAAAATTACAACAATTCAAGTTATTAAATTGAATAGAAGCTTACAAGCTTAATCTAAAACACATCATCGTTAAGCGATTAATCTCTTGTAGTCACTTAGACTAGTGGTCATACGGCAGAATTCAGTCAGCAATAAATGATCAGGAAAAATATTACATTAGTTACTCATGATCGATCAATTCGGTGGGTATTGAATAAAGATGTAAAGTCCATTAATTGAACCTCCAAACAACTGCAGTTTACAACACATTTTAAGAAGATGCATGGAAAATATATTCAAACAGTATTTTAAAGCTTAATTTTTGATCTATGTTCAATATAAATATAGACTCACCAAAATTCGTATTATGAATGTAATAGTCATAAATATACCTGAATATGTTTCACTTGAGGTTAGAAAATCACAGATAAACTGATTTTCAGGACCAATCAGGCGCATACCAAATGATAAGTAAGAGATGATGATGGGTTCATGTCACCGGTTGAGATTTAGTCTAACCTTTCAAAACACAGATATTTTCGCTATTGATTGAAGATATGGCTTAATTTTCTACATGAGATGACTTCATATTTATTACTGGGTTGTGCATAGATTCTTTATTCAAATTATTCAGTAAAATCATCCTGTCAAATTTTACACTCAAGAAACAGACTGGACTGGTGTATTGGGACGACCGCATAGCATAACATAAGTTATCAATGTAATTTCGAAGACATTGTGTTCTTTTAGTTAGATATTTCAGTCGTGTAAAGCCTTCATTATCTTTTTATGAATCATCACTGGCACACACTTCAAAAAAAGTGAATTATTGGGTTTTCATCATAGTTGGCTAGTAGCTTGTTCTGTTGACTTGAAATTTGATTGGATATTGTCTATAATTTGTCTTCATTGCTTGTTTTAAAGAGTCTGTATAGTGAACTGACTCATGGACATCTTCGGCAGTAAAAGTTACATTGATTGAGACGGACAGAACTACTGATTAAGTAAATACAAACATGAATTTCCGTTTATTTATATAATTTGACTTCGAATTTGAGCTTCATATAAAATTACACTTTAATTATGCAGCACTTATGCACTTCATAGATGAAACAATAGCTAAAAGTGCTGAATTATAACGCATTAGTTAAATTTTAAGACGTAACAGACAATCTCAGCAAAGTTTTTCCGTTCAAACATTATGTTGGTGTACAGATGTTTCTTTTTGATGGTAATCAGTTGAATCATTCAAATATTTCCATTCTGTTATTATTATCTCTGATCATTATCAATACTAAACGTGTTTCTTGTCTTCGTTCTGTCAAATTTTCAATTTTAGGTAAGCAATAATTTTCGTTGTTGGATTTATAAACGTTTAAGTTTTCGTACATATCTTATGTCACGTGGCCGTGGTAATCGCTGTTCTAAAATTCAAACAGCTGAATCATCTTTACCAGAAGAAGGTGCATCCTTATTATTAGAATTAACAGAAGATGAATATCAATTTGATGTATGTCCAATGTCATGGGATGATGGACGTAATCCTTATGCAAATCCAGCTATTCTAGATGTTTATGCAAGTGGTTGTCTATTACGTCCATTCAATAGTCTATTGATCTTCTTCTTCAGTTTAATACATATAGTGTATATATGATTTTTTCATTAAGTTGTTATAAAAAAATGATACTATTTTTTAAAACAGTTAATTTTTCCTCTACAAAACCCAGTAAAAAGTTGTACTTTTGTCAGAATGACTGTTTCAATCGTAATATTTTTTATTCTTTTCCAATATCTATCATTTTTGTACATATTTTAATCCTGAAAATAGAAAAAAAAGCTTGTTATCACAAGCAGTCTGTTGTTCCAGTAATCATTGCAGACAGATAAAATCATTTCGTTCTGTAGTTGAAACAGTTAAGTGTCGTTGCAATACTTGGTCACTTTACTATCAGTCAGCATTTCGAAATTTATTTACATATGAAATGTTAATATCCACATCCTTAATTGAAGATGAAACTTTAATTTGTCTATCAACAGATTATTGTCCCATAAAATCAAAATTTACGACGTATAATATGAAATTTTTTCAAGTCAGTTAAGTCAGTCAGTTACAACGTAGAACTTCGTACATGAGTACATAAGTTCAGGTTGCTATAACCCATTGGCACAGAAACGCAACAGTCAGTTCAAATCCCGTAGTGGTAGAGATAGTAGAAATATAGGCAGTAATGGAGATTAGGGTTCGAAGATATGATTCATTAAGAATAAATGAGTGAGATAATTTTAGAAAGAGAAAGAGATGATGAGGACGTCAGGAGGTTAGAACTTGAGAGCAAAAAAAGATACACCTGCGCCAGTGAAAACGATTTTGAGCAATATTGTACAATGTCTCTAATGATCGGTGACTTTCGTCTCGCGGACCCTCACCAGGTAGTCTATATCTACCAACACGATTCAGTCGTTCTGTTAGTGACTTTATGGATTTCTGCCATGTTTCGGTTTGACCGTCCCTAGCTTTCTTCTACAAAACATGGCTCGTCGAGGCAGTCACGGGTCGGGCATTCGTAATACATGTCTCAACCACCTCAACTGATAAAGTTTTAATACTTCATCCATTGATCTAACATTCCTACGTAGTACTCGTTTCCTAACGACAGCATTGCTTACTCGGCTGTCCCAGGATATACGGGCAATGCTTTGAAGACATTTATAATCGAATACTAATAACCTACGAATGTCCTGTACTCTTACCCGCCATGTTTCACAACGATATAAGAGAACGGATCGAACTACAGCGCAGTACACTCGTCCTTTAGTCAGCAAACGGATATCTCTCCCACTCCATAAGAGAATGATATCAAGGGAATGAACAAACATTGGACAGAACTGGAGAGAAAAGCCCTGTACAGAGTTGGTTGGAGAAAACTGGTGGGCGGCCTATGCTCCATTGGGGGTAACAGGCGTAAGTAAGTAAGCAAGTATAAATGTCTTCAAAGCATTGCCCGTACATCCTGGGACAGCCGAGTAAGCAATGCTGTCGTTAGGAAACGAGTACTAGGCAAGGATGGCAGATCAATAGATGAAGTGGTGAAACTTCATCAGTTGAGGTGGTTGGGACATGTGTTACGTATGCCTAACCACCGACTGCCTCGACGAGCTATGTTTTGTGGTGTAGGAGTAGGTTGGAAGAAAGTTAGGGGCGGTCAGACCAAAACATGGCACAAATCCATGAAGTCACTGACAAGTGGACTGAGTCATGTTGGTAGATATAGACTACCTGGTTGGGGTGCGCGAGACGAAAGTCATCAATGGTTAGAGACCTTGAACGACATGGCTCAAAATCGTTTGCAATGGCGCAGGTGCATCCACTCTTTGAGCTCTCTCAAATCATAATCTTCTGGATTTGTCGGCACCTCTACCTTTGTCTTTCTAACCTTATTTCACTGAATTATATTTCTTGATTAATATCTTCGGACCCCCCTATTAACATTAATACCTCTACTATCTTTATCACTATGGGATTCGATTTGACATTTGCGTCTCTGTGCTGTGGTATGGCAACATGAACTGATGTACTTACGTACGAAGTTCTACGTTGCAACTTACTGACTGACTGGGGTTAGTGATGACGTTTCAATTAGACAACAGATAAAGATGAACACATACAAGAACAAAACGATATTCACTTTAGCATTGGACAAGAAATAAGTGAGTATTTCAACTTACCAAAAATCCACTATTCGGGCAAGCGCATGGTCTTGCACCAACAACCGCTCTAACAAGCTTTGGTAGGGGCATATTTGTTACGGTCATCAGATAGGCCAAGGTTATAGTCACACTACGAGAAACACCACAAGCGCTTTAGAAGTAAGATGGGAACAGAAACAGCTTGTTGTTACACACAGTTATCGTAATTTTGATAAATAATATGGAAGATTTGAATTTATTTGTTATTTCATCACTATTGTTTTTACGTCTCAGTTTTCTGTTGGTGGTTGCCTCTTACTTGACAAACGTGAATCTCGATAACTTGAACTGATACATATTTATCTATTAAACCATAATGAAGTATATAACCCAACCTGTGAAGAGTGAAGAAATTATCTGAACGTAAGTCAGTTAGACAGGTTTGGTTTGGTAAATGTAGAAATGAAATTAGATTCGACTTATTTATCAAGTATTCAGATTTCAGCCACACTATCTAGCTGCGAAAACAGTAGTTGAGACCACATTTTGACTGGTTGGAAGCCTACTGTTAAAACCACTAAACCAAGATGTTGATAATCTATACATGGTTAGTTCTAAAAAATCAAAAGATAGAGTAAAATGACAAACTTTTTCTTAGTTAACTCCACGTCTGAACATACATGTTATCGCGTAATTATACCTAGAAACTGATCGGATTCATAAGAACTGTTTGAGGTCGACTTACAAAATAATCTAATGACGAGATAGAGTACCAACGTTACGGGTGTAAGGAGGGTTTGGCCATGACCAATTTGGTCTCGCGTGCTATTACGAGGAGGAGGGCAGATATCACTCCCAAGCTGCCCACACCGTGGAAGGGTATTGCTTGAGAAACCTGAAAAAGAAATCGGATTAGTGTTGGTCTTAGTGACCAGCGAGCGTGACCGCAGAGCCTCAAGGGACAACTGCTTGAGGCTGGTCACGCACGGCCTTTTTATGGGAGGTTTTTGAAGTGTCAGCTCCAACTTTTTTAAAACGCCTTACCGCCGGAGACGTTAATCCGCATAGTAAGGTGAGGTGTGACATTTTTACGGTCGATCTTTTATAACCCCTACCTTCTTTGTGGGAAAGAAGCATCGCCGCAGATGCTGGTTGTCCGAGGGAAACACCTTACTGCTGTCACACCCCTCTGCAGTCGGCAGTACGACTTCGCCCTCAGACCTTGGGTAGCTGCTTTTAGTCTCATCGTTTTCCAATCGACCTTTCTGGCATGGTAGAACCTACAGGAACATATGTTCCAGCCAATAAAGCTCGGTTGGGTCATGACGATAAGCAAGCCCGACCACCACCTCGAGGTAGCAGCTACGGTCCGGATAGTAACCGATGGTTAGACATGGCTCAGTAGCATCTAGTCTTTGTGTTCCCCCGAATTCTAATCTGAATTCCTCATGAACTTCATTGTTTTCCACTTCATTCAGTCCGTCAGTTACAACGCAGAACTTCGTACATGAGTTTGGTTTGCAATAGCACATTAGCACAGAGATGCAACTGTCAGTTCAAATCCCATAGTGGTGGAGATTGTAGAAGAATTGGTGGTAATGGAGAACATTAGGAATCATGTGTGACCACCACATCAAAGTAACAGATACGGTTAGGTTTTCTAATCTTAAATTTGTTTCATCACGAAGTACTTCTCAAATTATATCTTCGAAGCCTATGCTTTTCGATTACTGCCCATTCTTTTACTACCTCTACCAGTATGGGATTTGAATCGACAATTGCGTCTCTGTGCTAATGTGGTATACCAACTTGAACTAATGCACGTACGTACGAAGATCTACTTTGTTGATGACTGACCATGACAAAATTACAAGATGTTTATTGAAACAAGACTCAATTCACAAGGCTAGACGACTAATTTGAACATTTTTCTAATCCTGGCATTACTTCATCGGCGGTCCCAGTGTACACGAGCAATGCTTTGAATACACCTATAGTTGATTACCAGTAACCTACGAATATCCTGTACTCCTAGTGGGCATGTTTCGCACTCGTATAGTATAACAAAGCGAACTAGTGCGTAGTAAACTCGTCCTTCAGTTGGCGGACGTATATCTCGACTACGCAAGTTGGCGAAAGTCAGTCAAGCCTTCTGTATCGATGCCCAGATTTCGTCAGACACCAGGTCATCAGGATTGATGAGACTCCCAAGATAAGTGAAGCAGCCAACACGCTCAACTACTTCACTCCCTATCACTAGTTCAGGCGCTGACGCAAGCCAATCCCGAAGCAACATCTTGAATTTCGAGGGAGAGACTCGCATCTCGAACGTGTTCGCGTTTTTGACTAAAGTGGTCGGAAGACTGTATTTTTTCAGCATATTCACCGGACAGAACCACATCATCTGCATATTCTAGGTCGACAAGTGAATCTTCTGGTAGAAGGTCGACTTCTAAAACGTCAGACGATGGAAGTGTTATCTCTAAAAGCATGTTGATGAAAAAGTTAAATCAGAACGTAGAAAGCAGACAACCCTGACAAACACTACTTGTAGTAGACAGTTCGCCATAAGCTCTGACTCGACCAACATTGTTTGAGTAGAAAGCCTGTACAGGGTTATTGTGCTTTTTTGATACAGGTTTCAATGACAGACGGCCACAGAGTTAAACGCTGCCTTAAGGTCAAGGAATACAAGTATTGTCTGACGTCAAAAAGTCTGTCTATGTCCCAGGACCCGTCGAAGTGTGAAAATCTCGTCTTAGCAAGCTGGGAGCGTGACCAATAAGCCCGAGTAACGACTGTTTGAGGCCAGTCACACATGGCTTTTTACGGGAAGTTTTTAACGTATTAGCTGCGCTCATAAAACGGCCTCATTACTGAAGAAGTTCTGCTTATGACTTGAGGTGTGTGATGGCTTTTAACGAAAGTTGGAAGATGAAGAGTGCATTACCGATGATTGGACGAGGTTGACACACACGAAGATGCAACCCACGACTGTTGGACAAAATATAACTCGATGCAATTGTAATTACGGCCTTTAGGGTCCTGGTGGAATGAAAGCGGTAATAACCTAGTTTGTTCACCGGTCAACATGAGATTATCCACTAAGTGATAACCAAGGGCTAGGTATCAGCCTACAATAAAGTGACGATAAGCACTGAGTGTGGTAGTATGAAACATGTAGAATATAAGCTCACGTTGATCACGGTGATGTGAAATTTCTAGTCGATAAGCGAGACCATTTTTATACCCCGCAAGGTAGATGATATTTATAGATCCTTTGAATAGAAAATTTCATACGAGCAGAGAAACTAAGAGGTCTGAATATGGTAATAAGCTGAAATCAGCAGTTGCATGTGGTAACCTTCGGAAGTTATCCCAGCTCATCGGAGGCTTTGACAACAAGAAGCTTCATGTAAGCAAAAGAAACAATGGAGTCTACAAGACGCGAATTATTAATTGTTTCGGAGACTAGGCAGTTCACTTTAAAGGGTAGTTCAAATGAATTCTTGCCCTAGTGATGTTTATAACTGCCTCATTGTTGGTGATCACCCAACAAATATGTCTGTACAAGAACACAATTTAGCTAGGGTAGACAGTTCACAATCAGATCATTCTAAGGATGGTTGAGGAATAATGGTCAGGAAACAGACTACGTTGTTTGGGTAGGTTTGAAAATGTTTTATTCTACTAGAATCAATTGAATGTCAGTCCCACTCTTTAAAAAATTCAAGTAATTTATGCAACAACAATCAGAGGATTTCTACTTTTGATTCAATACAAACTAATAGCTGCCGTTACATATTGTCCAAAACCCGTGAAAACTAATTTGCAATGACGTTGGTTAACGATCAGGTTGTGGGTGTATTAATCAAACCTTCACTAGATGCAGGAAAAGCTACATTACTAGCAGATCAACAATCGTTGATTTTGAGTATCAGGATTTCGTTGGATTAGTTGGAAAGAATTGTGCTTTGAAATTGCTTGCTGAAAAGGTTATGGCTAATATGTTTGCTAACATCTTGAAAGCTCTATACACAAATATATTGATTAGAGCGAAAGCATACAGTCATCTTTTTTTCAGTATTCTAGTTGGATGATAGAGTTAATCAGAGTTTCTCATTCATATCGTTTCTTCTTCACTCTATTCTTTGCGTATACAAGGATATAAAACAATTCTGGGAACTGCTTACAGAAACTTAATGGCGATAAAGTCTCCCATTGCGATGATACACAAGCTATACAAATTGCACTTAGCGAGTTAGCACTACTGCAACATGCCCTGATAAGATCAAGAGTGGAGAGTCGTTTTCCCTCTAAAATGAGGTCATGCATATACCACCACTACCAAAGATGTCCTACTTACTGCCTCACTACAGGTGTTTTCACGAAATTGAGAGCAAGTCAAGAGAATGTTCGGTCAAGGCTTAAATCGGGATGGTAGGTGTGGAAGATCTAACTAGAGGAGTTGGAAAACTGTGATTCCAAAACAGAGATGAACATTTAGGCTCCTGGAACCTGGAGGAATACATGAAGTATGAACCCATTATTACTCACCTGATATCATGGGACTGAAACTCTTGGAGTCGCACTACTGTATTGCGGATTAGACCTATAGGTCAAAGGTCCGGTGAGTGGTCCCATAAAGAAACCACCTGCTTTGGTTTGAGCATCTGAGTACTATCCCATCTCACTCATAAATTCAATATATTGTGTGGCGCATATTTTGGTACCACTTTGTATCAATTTGTTTTAATAATAGCTAATGATAATAATAGAAAAATGATAACGAACTAATTGGTCTCATCATTTTGCATCAAGTGCTTTGAAGATTTAATTTCGCTTCCCAAATGCCATCTCAGCAACGTCCAGAGTGGAGTGGTTATGTGTAACGTTAACATGGCTCTATAAATGGCATTAATTACCAATGTCGGAACCATTAAGGTGGATGTGTGGCCACTTTATACAATAGCCCCGTGGTATGAAAAAGGCTGTGTAGGAACGGGATCTGCTGGGACATTACAGCTTTTCGGTGAAGTATCTTAGAGATAGCACAACTGCGACGTGGGACGCTATAACGAACGATTCAGGATATAAGACAAGCAATCGTATTATGATTTTCGGCAGAAATATAATTAGTGAACGTTAAACGAGACTAAAGACAGCATACAATTGAATTAGCTGCGAAATTCATTGATTCAAATGGTTACGCATTTAAGCAATATAGCTGACGGCAGACCGTGAAAATTCTAACCCTAAATGATTATCCTAAGTCCTAAATCCGGTTTCTTACACTAAATTATAACCTTTTGATCCTCGCATGTGGAATTTTCTCCAGAATACATTAGCTTAGCTCACAATCAGTCAGTCAGTCAGATGCAATGTAGAACTTTGTACATAAGTACATCAGTTCATGTTGCCATACTACATCAGCACAGAGAAGTAATCGTCAATTCAAATCCAATAGTAGAAGAGGTAGTAAGGGAATTAGAAGTAATCGGAGAGGTTAGGATTAGAACATATTATTCAAGAAGTATGATTCAGTGAGAAAAGTTTAGAGAGTCGAAACTAGAGGTGTTGAAGAATCCAGAAGAGTAGGATTTGAGAGAACACAGAGAATAAATGCACCGGCGCCATTGCGAACGATTTTGAGCCATGTCGTTCAAGGTCTCTAACCATCGATTATTATCATCTCGCGGACCCCAACCAGGTAGTCGACAATTACCGACATGGCTAAGTCCACTAGTCAATGACTTCATGGATTTCTGCCATGTTTTGGTTTGGCCGCCCCTAACTTTCTTCCAACCTACTCCTACAACACAAAACAAAGTTCGTCGAGGCAGTCGGTGGTTCGGCATACGCAAGACATGTCCCAACTACCTCAACTGATGAAGTTTCACCACTTCATCTATTGATCTGCCATCCTTACCTAGTACTCGTTTCCTAACGACAGCATTGCTTACTCGGTTGTCCCACGGTATACGAGCAATGCTTCGAAGACACCTATGATCACCTTAGCTCACAGGTCATTCATGAATTAGTCTCACCAGGTTTTTGCACATATTCATAAAAGTAAAGTCAGGCTGCTTAACAAAAAGGGGCTCAGTTATACTTTGAATGAGCAGGAGTTGGCACTATGTATTCTTCTTGACAACTTGTTTGATGATTCAACAAACGATTCTTTTATTTCCTCTCAATATTTTTATTTATGTGAAGCTGTAGAACTACCAACAACTAACAGTGAAGTAGTAGCGTAACAACATTACCCTCAAGTGAATATTCGAAATATATATGATATATATTTCAATTCAGGAAGTAATTCCAAAAAAATTTCATGTATCGAAAATGTGCTAAACATTGCAATCCTAAATCCATATTCTGATTGGTTTCGTTTAGAAAATGAGCAGCACAACAACTTTCCGGCTGAAACAAAACTACTGAATATGAAGCTGTCATTTAAGGGATATGTTACCCAACTTTACTGTAGCGAGAAAACTTAACAACACATGTTAACAATAGTCTGGAAATATATCCGATTCCACCCAAGTTTCAACTACTTGAAAAAAACGGTTATGAGATAATGACTCAGATAATTTTTATCTAGGTGAAAAATTTTAACGTTTAGATAAATATTTTTGACTTACCAATGAACCAGTACAGCACCATCACAAACTCTGGCCTCGTGAATGAAAAATGTCGAATCTCTAAAATACTTAGCTATATTTTCTTTTGCATCGTCATCGACCCGAAGCATTAACTGATTTCTGGAAGGACACTAACTCTTATATAACTAAGGACTTATCGGGTACCTTGAAATTGTAGTGCAGAACGCTGCAGACATGAGTAATGCCGTTTTCCTCTAATTGGCTTTTGGATTGAGCACTAGCTACTCCACCTATGTATAATCCCGGGACTATTCTTGACATAGATCCACCCATTTTGTTACAAAATTCACAAATTCTCCAGGATTAAGGAAATTAAAATGGACACAAATATACATTCAGGAAAGTCACGAGTTTGAAGACAGCACACCTAATATTCAATATAGATTGAGTAAAAAAGACAAGTGTCCAATAACACCAATAACTTTTTCACGAACTAGTATAAACTAATCGACTTATTTGAACTCGGTTCTTGTGCTTTCGGTACGGTTCCAAGTATTTGGTAGTGTCCAATGAATGGAGGTCTAGCCACTCGAATGCATAACTCTAGTCAGTTGGGCAATGCTTTGTAAGTTTGTATGCCTCGTGATTTGAATGAAAATATTTGTTTCAAAGCAGTAGGATTTCTGGATACTAGCACCTATCACGTTACCAGGCCGCAGATCAGTTAGTTGCAATCTGGCGAATCATAAGGAGAAAGTTCTGATGCTAATTATAAGAAGATTGTGGAACTCAGTAATGTAATGGATAATTTAGTTGATTAATCGGTAGTGAGGATTGTGGGAGAGGACTGGAATGTAAGTAAAGGACAGTAAACAGAGATAATGAGCGAGACAGATTAAGCGATCAGATTAGTGATCTGTTGAGATGGAAATAATAACAATTGGCATGTCTGAAGACATGCATCAAGCACAGATGGTCCACGAGGGCGATGATAATCCGTATGTGAGTTCGTGTCTGACAAGTCTCTTCTTAAAGCGGGGTGTCATAAAACCACTCGGCTTTCAAGTGGCTGTTTGTGTATACAGCCACTCCGCCCCCTGTTTAGTGTACCCAGTCGCCTCAGAAGAGTGTCATGCCTTACAAGCTCACTTCGCCGTCAGCAATGTCGAGGAATAGCCACGCTTCATATGGAATTATGATCCTCAGATCCATCTGGGAACACATATTCTTGATTTGTAACAGCTTACCCCTTAGTCCTCTTACGTTACTATAAAGGCACTTGGTGGTTTGTCTCAGCACCTGGTACACTTCTTCAGCAGCAGCCGCTGTCAGATTTTCAGACAAGTTGTTCAAGCCGAGTTGGTAAGTTAGTTCTGCGGGAACTGGCCTCTGCCTATGCAGTGAGTTACATCGGTGAGTCTATTATCTTCGCGTCTTGTGTCTCTTTTAAGGAGAGGTGGTGAGGTGACATCGTAAACTTCAAGGTGTGGCCACGCGTATACTTTGAAGGGAGTAAAGAGCAATGATTGTCTGAGTGCAACAAATTGTCTTCACATAAACTGGAGAATCGTGTCATCCTAGACTAAATCCCCCATTCAGTTTTAAGTCGTGTCCAGACTGTGGTTCTAAGACAGAAATCGAAACCTTCGCGATTGGGACTACAAAGGGTAACGCGTCGAAAAATTTCATGAAGTCGTGGAATATTATGCGAACCAGTGTTCATAGGTCGCAGCAGATTGTCAAGATATCCTATGCTATGAGGATATTAGATGCGCACGACCTGCCTTTCTAAAATCCGCATTGGACTCCATGGAAGACATTCTTACCTATCTACTCCCTCATTCGCTCACTCACCAGTCCTTCCATTACTACTAGTAGTGATACTGATCTCTAGCAGGCTGGATCTTTTCTATCTATTCCTTTGGCGATTGGAGAGAGACTAGATTGCCTCCATCCAGCCGGATGTTGGTTTGATTCCTGTGAGTGCCTAGAGAGTTCATATACCGGTGAAATAAGGGCTTTCGTATACCGTTCCAAAATTACATTGTCATATTATGGTGACTTTTCTGAGCCCAATGTTTTGAGTTTTGATAATACTAAACCAGAAATAAGCTGAATGCTCACTGAACCATCATCTGGTACTAGGTTCGACAAGTATTCTGAACTTGTAGGTGCCTAGTTTAACTGGTCAGCGAAGTTAGCAATATTGATCTCAGGCATCTATAAGTTGGCAAGATCTTCGATTTCCAATGTCTCGTTAACTAGTCAGTAAAAATGTGTCGATTTACTTGTGTAGTCACGTAAATGCCAAGGTATTAATATAGAACGTCCATGGTACTTATTGGTAGTGCAATGATCTTGCATAGTATTTGGTCCCAGTGTGGTTGTACCACTGGATTGAAGTTAACTGTTTCACTCGTGTTCAGTTCTCCTGAAAACTAGTGTTGAATAGCTGTCTTTCAGACCTTATTCGTAGTGTTAAATGCTGGCATTCTAGCTTCTTCACTGCATTAGTAAGAGTTCATTTGATGATCATTCAAGTGTTAATCTATCTTAAATAAAGTACATGTTTTTTTAGAGCAGTAGACTCTATGAAATCACTCACTAACATAACCTTGAGCTGCTTACTAATAGGTCATAATTAAAAATGTGTAAAAACTCCGCTACTGCCGGTCCCAAGCCCGGGTAAAGGAGGAGGGTTGGACATGGGGTTGGCCACCCCATTCCGTCGAAATCTAACTTGCCAAAAAAACGCTAACCAGAAAAAATAATTCAAACCATCTTAACTCTGCCCTGGGAGTTGGAGGAAGAATTATGACGTCTCGTGATGAAAGCCAAGTTCCCTCGGAAGTCACGGGGCCGATGCCTCTTCTGACATCCAGAGCAACCATTCTTCTAGGTACATGGAACGTTCGTACATTGTGGGAGACTGGAAGACTATTTCAAGTTGCGGCAGAAATGAAAAGATACAACCTTGAGGTGCTCGGCATCAGTGAAACACATTGGACACAGGTAGGACAACTGAGACTTGCTTCAGGAGAACTGCTGTTATACTCTGATCATGAAGAGGAAAACGCTTCACATACAAGGAGTTGCACTGATGCTGTCCAAACAAGCACAAAAGGCACTAATAGGATGGGAATCTCATGGACCCAGGATCATTAAAGCATCCTTCAAAACAAAGAAAGAGGACATTAGAATGAACGTCATCCAATGTTATGCACCTACCAATGACTACAATGACGACGTTTAAGATCAATTCTACGAAAGCTGCAGTCAATCGTCGAGAAATGTTCACCAAAGGATTTGACGATTCTTATGGGAGACCTGAATGCCAAGGTTGGAATGGACAACATTGGATATGAAGACATCATGGGACGACATGGACTGGGAGAAAGGAACGAAAACGGTGAGAGATTTGCAAACCTATGTGCCTTCAACAAACTGGTCATCGGTGGCACAATATTCCCGCACGAAAGCAGACACAAAGCCACATGGATTTCACCGGACCACACTACTCAAAACCAAATTGACTATATCTGTATCAACAAAAAGTTCATAAGGACCATGGAGGATGTGAGAACCAAGAGAGGAGCTGACATAGCTTCAGATCACCATTTGCTGATCGCCAAAATGAACCTGAAGCTAGAGAAGCACTGGGCAACAGGACAGACGACATCATAGAAGTCTAATACAGCCTTTCTTCGCGAAACCACAAAACTCAATGAATTCAGGATAGCCCTGACCAATAGGTTCCAGGCCTTTCAGGATCTACTCAGTAGAGAGGAAGTAAAATTGGAGAACAATTCGAAAGGGATTAATGTTACGTCCAATTTTTTGCTCTTTGATCCCTAGAAGCACTGTGTGTCGATCTATTTGCAATTCACGATCCCAAAGATTAAACCAAAAGGAAACTCCAAATTAGGTACCAAAGTTTATTGCCAATTCACAAATAATCGACCAAAATGTGTTTGTTTATTACAAATGGACGACCAATGTCGTTCTAACAACAATAATTATAATAAATACAATTTCCTTCTATTTTATAGATTCTTGGAGCAAGGAAGGCAAAGTAATCAGCAACACTGAAGAACAACGAAACAGGTGGGTAGAGCACTTTAAGGAACTCCTGAATCGACTAGCTCCACTGAACCCACCCAACATCGAAGCAGCATCCACGGAAAATATATACATCATACGGAATTCTTATGATGGATTCAACTGCAAAATCGTGCACGGAGGTCAGCTGACAGACTCTTTCGAGGTGAAGACCGGTGTCAGGCAAGGTCGCTTACTCTCACCCTTTCTTCTCTTTCTCCTGGTGATCGACTGGATTATGAAAACGTCAACATCTGGAAGGAAGCACGGTATCAACTGGACAGTTAGGACGCAGCTGGGCGATCTGGACTTCGCAGATGACCTGGCTCTTCTATCGCACACTCAACAACAAATGCAAGAGAAGACGACCAGTGTAGCAGCAGCCTCAGCAGCAGTAGGTCTCAACATACATAAAGGAAAAAGCAAAATTCTCAGATGCAACACAACATCCACCAACCAAATCACTCTTGATGGAGATGTCTTGAAAGATGATAACATCTTTACATATCTTGGCAGCATCATCGACAATCAAGGTGGATCCGATGCAGATGTGAAGGCGCGGATTGACAAAGCAAGGGCTGTGTTTCTATAGTTGAAATATATATGTGGAACTCCAAACAACTTTCAACCAAAACCAAAATCAGGATTTTCAATACAAATGTCAAGATAGTTCTACTGTATGGAGCGCAAACTTGGAGAACTACCAAAGCCATCATCCAGAAGATACAAGTGTTTATTAACAGTTGTCTACGCAAAACACTTCGGATTCTTTGGCCAGACACGATCAGCAACAACGAACAGTGGGAGACAACAAACCAGATTCCAGTGGATGAGGAAATCAGGAAGAAGCAGTGGAAATGGATAGGACACACCCTGACAAAAGCATCCAACTGCGTCACTAGACAAGCCCTCACATGGAAACCTCAAGGCAAAAGGAAAAGAGGAAGGCCAAAGAACACACTACACCGAGAAATAGAGAAAGATATGAGAGGAATGAACAAAGATTGGACAGAACTGGAGAGGGAAGCCCAGGACGGAAGAGTTATTTGGAGAAAACTGGTGGGCGGCCTATGCTCTATAAAGTCGGAGAGCGTTTTCCTTCTTCGTAAGTATTTCTTACAACAGCTTGTGGTATCGAACATACTTTCGGTCACTCCGGAACTTCTGACGGGTTGCTTTTGGAACCCATTTATGGGAGTTGTACATAGTTTGATAAGATTTTTCTGCACCTCATT